CCCCCCCCCCCCCCCCCCAATGACTGATGCATTTTCTGGACTTCAGTCTGCACTATACTAATCAGGAGGAAACAAAACATGCACACATTTGTTTTAAGCTGCCGAAAATTATGCTTAAAATACCTTTTTCTAGTGTCTTTGGTCCAACCCAGTTATGAAATGTTGACCGATTACATACTTATTATATTTTCCGTACATTTATAACAAAATATGACCATTTCTAAACGTAGTGACACCAGCCTTCAAGTTGTGTCAATCTGCACATGCAGTCCTGCCCCTTGAGGGCACATTAAATATCAATACTGTCTTAGTGTTTTACTTGATGCCACGTCTCATTTCAGTTAGGCCAGACTTTTATTATCCCTTGTTTCGCGAACCCGCCAAATGAACAGTATAATAAAAATATAATTTTATTTCAGCGTAATTTCTCGCGCCCACCAACTTGTAAGCACAAACAAATGCTAAAAAAATATTATTTTTATCTTCATTTTTTTACCGCCCGCCGCATAACAAACCCAAGTTGCATTTACGTGGGAGTATCATGATCAAAGTACCGAAGTCTAGCGCAGATGAGAAACAAGGTTATACATGGAATAAAATTTTATTTCATTTCTTCTCTCCGATCAATGTTCTCACTTACAATTCTTTGAGAATCAAACAAATCTAATGGGGAAAAAAAGAATTAATTTTATTTTTTTTTCGCCCTCGAGTCTTCAAAAAAATTGCCTTATAAAAACTCGAGAAACAAGGAATAAAAAAAGTCTTACTACAATTTTAAAATTCCATGCGCTTCATAGGAATTACCCTGCATGGCATCAAATGCAGTTGACACAATGCAGTGCACATGTCCCTTAGTCATTGCATACAAGACTTAAAGCGGGAGGGTCGTCACCTGCTCATGCGCAGGAATCAAGTCCCAAGCAATGATAACAGGCGCTAAAAATGCAAAGGCTCATGGGTAGACACTTGTTTGTAAACAATGACACACTGGCCATCTGACGCATGCGCAGGTGACGACTCCCTCGCTTTAAGTGTTCGTATAGGCAGCACAAACAATAAACACGTCCCCCCAGATAATTCAGAGTGCAGATAATTCAATAAAGGGTTCTTCAGAATTTGTAATGAAAAGCAACTTTATTAGCTGAAGTAAATTTCATTTTGCTTACAATTGCGAAGACAACACGCATTCACGAAAACCATATAAATTATACAAGCTTTAAATTTCTATAAATACATATCCCTGACATGGTATGCTCTAAGAAGTAAATAATTCTGTAATGCAGAATTTAAATTATATTACAAGTATTGACAAACAGCATTTAAATTGTAAAGTTAACCCTACTTTGTCAGGCCCATCACCATATAACCCTGGGTTGCCATAGTCCTTTCCTGATGCAAAGCCACATAAGTTATTTGGAATGTATCCTACAGTTGTTCTAAAATCCCACGATAAATGTCAAAATGCAGAATTCAGCTCAGGCTGCAAATTTATTTTTTGGGTTATCAGGGTATATTGAATGAGCCATTGAATAACCCCGGTATGTGGTTTATTGTATTTTCACTAGTTAACTGTTAAAAACATTAGCGTATACACAGTTCGTTGAGGGACTGTGGTGTATCTGAATTTGTGAGAGTTTATTGTAAACGTTTTGATTGCCAAAGTTTTGTCATCTTACACAAACAAAATTATTTTTAAAATTGTTACCAAAAAATATGTGAAAATGTTTTGGCATTCAAATTTCCGGCATACTGGAAAGTGTTTAAAAGCAAAAACCAAAATGCATCTTGCTTTAAAATGCAATAATTACACTGGTTTGAATCATACCAACATTATACAATAACTTACAAATTCAGCTTAGTCGAGAATACTATTGCATGTTATTGTGGTAGGATAAAACTACCCTGTCTCACGAAGGTCTAAACCCAGCTCAGGTTAGGAAGTGACAAGTACCGGTACAACCTTTTCTGTGTGCCCTCTAATAATTTTTTAAAAATCCAGAGTAAAATTCAACCCCTCCCCCTCCCCTCGATTTATGATGAGTCAGCTTGTTGACTAATGGGGTGGTCAATCTTCAAGAAAAAAAAACAACTGTCAGGTGATTTGAGGCACAAACAAAAATGCTGTGGGCCCCCTGATTTCCTTTGTTTTTATACTTATTGTTCATAAAATGTGAATCTCATTTTATCAAATTACAAATTCCGTAACTACATGTTTTTCAAGATCACTCAGTCAATGATTTTCTGTTACCTCAATGACACACCTGTGTATTAGCACAAACAGTTCGTCACAGCAAATCTTTGTGTGACAATGGCTTAGAGGGCACACTGGTCAGCAAATGAGTTGAGAATTTGTTCTCTTTCACAGTCTGACTTGTTTAAATACTGTAAAAATACTGTCTTTTTCGTGAGCATGTCTTTTTAGCGAATTTAGCGAGAAAACTGATTCGCTAATTCAAGATGTCGCTAATGACTTTATTATAAATTAAAAATGACCAAGGCTTGGGGACAAGCTAAAATTGCACATCGCTTTTTCAACAACATGTTTTACAGTACATACATTCCAGTGATACCTGAATCCAAATGATGGTAGGTATTATTAACAGCACAAAATGCTTCATAGTAAAATGCAGTAGTGTACACAAACAAGAGTTTGTTGGCAAATTATAATTTTCATACCTTATAAGCTCTATCAGTATTACATGTTCTTGGGTAAATGATAGAGGCACGGTGGTCAAAATAAATTGTATCTTAATTATGAGCTATACAATAATTGCAAGGTTAATACTACATCCTAGCATTTTCTATTTAATAGTTGCAATCCTGATATGAAAACATGCACGCTTTTACGCTATATTAGTGATATCAAACACCACAGGTCATAAAATCAAACTTAATAAAATATTCAATATCTCCAAAAGCAATGTAAAAAATAAATTCTTTAAAATAAACCAGTCATGTAATGACAAATCCAATAACTATTTCACCTAAACATAATATTACACTACACCTTTTAACATGATAGGCAACCACACATTTTTTTACAAAAATGAATAATTAAAAAATCATTGATATTTCAGAGATGAGAAAGGCAGATCTTCAGCAGCATGATATATAAACATTGTACCCAAGTTGACGCCATTTTGAACTGACCCAGAACCATCAGAGAACATATTATTCTCTATGTTCAAAAACCAAGACTATATATAATAATACATTTTAAAAATATTTCTAGCCTTATTTTTATATTTCACATTGATTGATTTGCAGACAAAATAATTTTCTTTTTTCGGTCTGCTTCCCATGATGAAAATAGTGCAATCTAACAAATGGCTTTTTCGTCTCAACAGTACTGGGTAACTATGTTGTAGACTTGCTTTTGTTCTCAAAAACTTAACACAAAATAGGTTTATTCTTTTTTGCAATCACAGTACTGTTTTTTTCACATTTATTTTTGGAAACACATGACCATGAGGTTATATCATTCACAGTTATGTTTAGTGTAAAATATCACAAGCTAATGATTCACAATATATTTCATGTGTGTTCAAACAGTACATGGTGCAAAAATGAATCATGTGGCGGTACCTCTTCTATTGTATTGATATAAGAATTTTGACCAAAAAAAGTTGTTCATAGAGCTGGCTGTGTGTGTGACATCATGGACTGTATTATCCAGTCACATATGTGGACATTACTATCCCATCACACCACATATAACAGCCAGTTATACAAACAAGTTGTATCATATAAAAGTCTTCAACCAATATTGGTAATCAAATAAATAATGTACATAGAAAGAAAATCCTAAGACGCACATGTTGTAGTGCGATGACTGGCGCGTTAAGGTTTGTATAAACACACATGATCAGTAATACTGTAATTTCTCTCAATTGAATAAGAGAAAATCTTTAAAAAAAATGAATATACCTTAAATTGACATTTGTAAACCAAAAATAAAAATACCAACATAATCGATTTTTTAAATTAGTATTCTTTGTCAAAAATGGATGACTATAATGAAAATTTAATTTTTCCAAGTATTTTTCAAAGGTTGAAAAATCTTGATTGGATTATAACACATTAGTCCAGTTTAAGCCAACACTGAAAGCACACCAATCAAAAACTTGTGTTAATTGCTTTGTAAGGGCATTTCTGTAGTAAATATGCGCTGCTAACAAAACAAATATGGTAATTCGCATCTAGGTTGTATTTGCAGAAACTGAATACTGTTACATGACAGGGTAAACACTATGTTAAAGTAAACATGTACTGTGTGAGTTGACACACAGACAACACAAAATCTTGTAGCTACACATCACAGCAGGTCTTGCACCCCATCCCAAAAAAGATTCTTAATAACCAAATCCAAGTACATACTGTTAAATACTTTATTTTAGCTGGAATTAATTTTCACTGAATAGATTTTTTGGGTGTTTTGTATGGAATTTATTTTCACTGATTTTTGACGAGTTGAATGTAAAATATAGGAAAAAAGGTATATTCGCTGGATTTTATTTTCACTGAAATCTTTCAGCAAAAATTCAAAGCGAAAATAAGGTATTCTACAGTATCATAGTTTAATTTCACTCAAATGTGCACAACACTTCAGAACAGTAGCTTCCACACTTAATGACAACTTTTTCATTTTCTGACTGGTTTGTGTCAGTTTGAGTTAAGCCTATCAGTATGGTGGTTGAAACTACAAACAATCACAACAAAATATCTGTAATATTTTTTTTTAAATAATTAAATATACCTGTAGTGATAATTTGTAAAGTCACCAGTCAACACAGAAGCTGCATTAGCATTACCATGTGTCAATGACTGATACTTTTACAAATTGAAATCCACTTAAATGTAAAAAAAAAAAGATTACACTCATTTCATTAACTGTAAATTTTTGTAAATATTTATATTTGTGATGTTCTTTCATACTGCCATTTACTGAAATTTTGAAATGTCATTAATCAAGTTTGCGGTTGTTGTAATTGGTTTGAAGGTTTTCCAACTGTTAAACACATTTTTGGGTATCATAACATGAAATTAGTGAATTAATTTATTATCTAGATTAAATATCCGAGATGCTTAATTGTTTGAGTTGTTGACATCAAGTTACGAAACCATCGAGAAAACACGCTCACGTTAGCAAAACCACGTCCAAATTGTATTTTGATGTTCTGTTTAACGATTTATGTTTACTGTAACTCAAAGCTTGGTTAACTGTTACTAAATTTTAACATTAAAACAAAACAATAAATGTATGTTGCCCGCAACTGTTAATTGAACACCGAGTTAGAATTTGGGTGGTTTCATAAAAGTGGGCGTGGTTTGTAAAATATGGGCGTGGTCATTTTTCTAATCAGATGTTTTTCTAACAATTTAGCATCCCATCAAATCAACAGTATTGGCTGGTAAAAATAGATTTTCTTCAACAAGATATGTTTTCTTTATTTACACTTTAAAGCAGTAACTCTCACACCCACACCACAAAACTCAATTCCATGGCAGCTTAAGGCAGTAGCTTACAAACTTGTGTGCATTGGTAAAAATCACATGCTAATATATACATCAAAGTTTGCAGTATGCAATCTTTGTAAAAAAGGTTGAAGAAATATGAGATTTAGTTTAGCAACAAATTCATAAAATGCTGTTACATTTTTTGAAGTAAACGAACATGATTGACTAGTAGAAAATAGGAAACACGTTTACAACATTATTAATGTCGTTTAGTTGAAGCTCACTTTGGCGGCCATTTTGAATTGAGTAATATAAAACAATTGGCAGTAGACACGCACTGACATGGTGTTTAAGTCCAGTGAGGTAGGTGGCACTTTCATTCATAAACATCAATTGAGTTGGCACAAAAAATACCACGTATTTTCCTTACTGGAAGCACAACTTCAACAGCAAGCTAATGAATTGTAAATTTAAATAAATTACCAGGTGCACCTTTTGTGACTGGCACATGTAGTCCAATGAAGAAAATCAGTACTACTGGTACCATACATCACCTACTCGTGTTGTTTTTCCTATTTATTTGGTCTATCCATGCATGTTTTCAGCAGGCAATGTGCTAATGCAACTCAATAATGTTTGCTTTTCTATTAAATTACATTAAATTTAAATATAGTGTGCTATCACCAAATTAGATTTTAACTAATATTATTGAATTTGAAATGCTAGCCATTATACAGGTAATTAACTTGATAATTTATAATTTTTTTATAATTAGTAGCTATAAATTAGACACCCGGACATTATTTTATTCCAACTTCTGATCAGCGGTTCTAAACGACGATATAAGATATATATTCATATTCATAATCGTATACCTTTTTGATTGAGAAGATGTACAAATATATCTAAAATTGTAATCGTTATAACTATAAATGACAATCAACATTATTAAATCAATATTAACCTAAGTGTTGCACCACAGACGCACACACGTTATGTATTTCCCTTGAATTCTAAATCACAAGTTTATGTGTTTCAGATTTAACTTCTTTATAGTATCACTTATATTAAAAACCTTGGAAGTATTTGATGGAGGTTTAATAATATGTACTTTGTTAACCAGACAGGATTTAACTATATTATTATACACCCTTTCCTATTGGAAGCGCCCTCTAATGGCAAAGTGTTTCTGTGACGTAAATTTGTAAAAATAATATTTGTTGACAACGTTGTCTGGTTGTGTAAGTCATTCTGTATTTAGAATACTAAACCTATCAAAAACATTATTTTTAGTGATGGACAACTGCAGATGAAAACAACAGATAATATATAAATATCGTCTTTTGGACATTTATATAACAAAAAAAACCACTTTGACACTCGTCTAGTTTTAACATTATTTTTTAGAGTCCAATTTTTTTTACACTCGCATAGTTAGAATTCACACAAAAGCAACTAATCAATAAAAATAAAATATATTATTTAACAATTTATTATTAAAGTTCGTAAATTTATGTTCACGTAATTTGAAAATGAAACAAGACGTGAATAGATCTAAGTCGTCAACAACTATTGGAATTCACTCTGATTAAACTATACCAGTGATTTTACTTCATGATTTTCGAAGCCAATCAAAGTAACTTCTACTTGTGCTTGGTTTGGGTTCTGTTTGGTCAAGCTTGTGTTCATCGTAACTTTCAAGTTCGGTCTGATCCATGATTTCAAATCCTGCCAAATCAGCATCAATGTCAGAAGTTGTCTTTGATGTTTCTGTTTTACCACCAGCAGTGGTGTTGAAGAAAGTCTCCCGAGGATGACGTAGAGCTGTATATGTTCCCTGCATGACTGCTGAAACAGTCTGTGAAACAAAGTCAGTTGTCTTTGCACCAAGATTAGACGATGCTGCCGTACTTAATTCAGGATCTTGATTTACTTCTTCAATATCGGGGAAGTCTAACCCATGGGAAAGGCTCTTTTCAACTTCATGATCAGAATCGTCAAAATGAGAAGAGACAAAATTCATATCACTGGTTGATTCCGCCGGCCGATCATGATGGAGTGATGTCGATTTGGGTTTAAATACAACTTTCTCTTGAGATACACTTATAGATGTTCGGCTATCGAGGTCAAGGTCGTCTTGACTTTCTTGCATGTCCGACTCGTCATGTGGCGGCATTGCAACAAGCCCTGCGGTGAAACTCATCTCATTATCAGTATGGCCATCTGAAAGATATAACCATGCAAGGTAATAATTAGCTAATTAATATTCATTAAAATTATTAAAAAAAAAAATCCCTTTGGCTTTCGGCTGACATTAAATACATGGTTACAGGTTGTACCCTTCTTACAGTTAGTTGTACCTTAAAGTTGCCACTTTGGGATTTAAAGAGCGACGGTCGCCGTGCCGCTTCTTGTTTGATATGGGACTCATAGCAACATGTGTAAAAATTAGGGAGAGGGTTTTCAACCCACCTATTCACCAAGCTCATTACCCACCATGGACTCCGATCAGTCAACATGACTATTTTGAACTGTAGGCATTAATCTGCGATTCAGCCAATGACAGAGAGAGAAATCTAGGTCAGGGGAAGCCCCATGACCTCATAGATTTTTTTCCTTGTAATGTAACATGTGACCAAGGTCAAGAGGTCAGCGCCATCTTGCCTTATGTTCACTCTCCTGTTTTCTTCGTGTTCGAGGACTTAAAACCAATCGCTATGGAAAGTGGGGTGCTTGGGAGGGACCTGGAGTCTATAGTGGGTAATTGAATGTAGTGAATCGCATTGTTTGTTTACATAAAACTCAAACACACACTGCATGATGACTGTTGCCCTTGCAGCAACTGTCAAATCTGGGATTGTAAATGAGTACCATAAATCTTTCCCACCAAATTGTGGTGTAACATTTTCGCACATTTTTATGTATTTTTTCTTTACTTTCTTTGCTAATTTTGGACCAAATGAACATAAATTCTCATTGGGTCCTGATTTTAATCAAATAATGCGAGTTCATTATGTGAAAGGTGACAACTATATACAACTGCCGCACATAGCCTTTGAAAACCAATGCAGCACGTTAAGCGAGCAAATTTTCTAGCCGGTTAGCAATGTTCCTTTCAAATGAGCATCCACAATACAATAAAAAACAGATGTTACACACATATGAAA